TTTGAAAAATCAAACAGACCAATATTGTACAAGTATATGGTAGTGATATTCGGGGAGAAGAAAGTTTTTACAAATCTGATATAAAAGATGTCAAACTACACTTAATACGATTCATCCTAGTTGTGAAGAAATACACTCTCATAATGGGAATATATGGAGAATTGGCTCAATTTCCAATAGATGTTTTTATCAAAAGACAAATGATCATGTACTATAACCGAGTAATGAGCATATTAAATAAACTTGTGCAAGAATCAGTATGATTTAAATAGGCAATTAAATAGTAAATAGTATTGCATAATCACTTCTCAATTAGATGAGATTAATGAAACACAATTAATCAATACAGAAATAATAATTACAACCACTGAACAAAGACAATTAACAACAAAAATATTCATCCTTCATTGAAACGAAGAAATACATAAATACTGCTAAAAATGTGTTGGGGAAAACACTGAGAGGATGTACAAAGAAAGGAAAAAAGTATTTGAAATAGAAAACCACTTCACTAATGCTGAAAATATCGATCTACACAAGTCAATCTATCAGTTGCATTTAAGTAACCAAGACTTCAAAATCGAAAGGAGACATACCAAGCCAAAATTACCAGTAGAAAAAAGGATCTGAAATTCCTGACCGAAGAATGAATTGGAAGATGACACAACATGCTCTTTTTACAGCCATCAGGGAATACAATATATGAAGAACCAAAGAACAATTAATAAATAAAAATTAATAAATTTATAACAATAGCCAATAATAATGCTATCTTGAATATAGCCACACCTCTCCATCAGCGTAGTATAATTCTCTTTTCATGTTTTTTTTTTTCCACCATTAGGATTCAATTTTTTTTATAGCTGTTCTAGTTTTTAGTTTCCGCTTGCATTTTCTGAAACATTTTTCACTGTTTGTAAGCTGAAGTTTTTTTGGTATGTGGTTGTATTTAGTCTTTATTTTCAATGTAACCATTTTAATTTCCCCAGTGAAATGTTAAGCATTTCAATAAAGATAACAGTATACATAGAAAAAACAGGATACGATTTTACCCCCCCATGGTATGACAGAAATTACTAAAACCATTTTGTACCTAAATATACTTGGTTAGGATAAATAAAAATAGCTTAACCGGTTCATTTTGTTATTTATCAATAACTTTATTGGCACACTGCATTGTTTTTAAAATAATATACACTGGACTAACAAATAATTCACAAATTAAAATAAAATAATATAATTGAAGTGTCTTGTTTACTACTGTTTTTAAACAAATTTAAACCTAGTTTAAATATATACAGTACATTGTACTTGCCAATGGTGAGAAATATTTACTACCAATGTGGCACATTATTTGAAAAAAAGCTTTGTCATTCAGCCTCGTCATTAACAAAATAAATGAACATAAATTGTTCAAGTCTTTAAATCAAGCAAGCTCCGACTGCACGTACGTACATGTATAATGTAAACTCCTAAAGGTACATGGAGGAAATCTTCATTCTTCGCAATACTAAAAAATAATGCACAGCCATTAGGCATGATATAAGTAAACTGCTACCACACAAGTCAACAACAAGTAACATTAATGTGACAGTAAAGTCAAAGATGTATTGTACAGTCCTTCATTTCAGATTACAGAAGATTAGAAGCAACCATTTCAAAGCCTGAACTACAAACGTTAAATAGCCTGAAAATGAACACAATCAAATCAAGTTGGCATTTTTCAGTGTAAACACAAATCAGTGAATATTACTAATCTACCAGTGAGTTCATTTCAGTTTCAATTGGATTCTTGGGTGAATGAAATTACTTGGGTTACTTGGGCAATTAAAGTGTTGACTTTGTACATTTTTTCATGCCAACAACACGGCCAAGCCAAGCTCATCAGTTTGTCGGGGCATGATAAATTCCCCATCAACTTCACCAGTTCATGCATGTATGCGCAGACACACAATCTATTAGGACATATATCATTCCCATTGTTTTATCGACAAAACAAGTATAATCACCTTTAGCGAGTGTTAAATTCATGGGGGTCAATAGTTTAAGACCATTTTAAAACGTTGTGAGAAAATGAACAAAGGTGTGGCAAACGTGACATACCGTATAGAATACAATTCAAGTAAATGAGTAAATCCCCTCAGGACAATATCCTGTTTGTACTATTATACCCTCATGTGAGGACAAAATCTCCTCAAAAATTGCTTAAGTGAAGTGGAAAAACATTTTTTTTGTAAACAAGTTTTTTTTTTTTTATACAAAAAGAATGTTTCAATACTCCAACTAAATTATTGATAGCACAAATTTGTTCATTTGATACATCAATCAGTTAAAAATCATTTGTCATAATCAGTTTGCTAAAACAAGTTAGTACTCCATGATCAAAATATAGAAAAGACAACATAGTGCATGTTTACTGTACACATTATTTATAGAATTTAGGTTCTTTTGAGATGTGAAGAGATCCTTTAGGCGTAATAATACCTATTAAAATACCAGTAGTGGAATAGATGATTGATTTATTGGGTAAATTGTAAGGAATAACTGAGGGAGATTAAGTCCACACAGTATCATGAATACCGGTAGTATAAAGAATGGGAAAACGGAGAATAGAATTTTATAAACTTAACACATAGAAAATAACATCTGTTTAGTTGCACTTCATACAAACAGCATTCAACCTACTCTGTCCAATTTTTAAACGTTAACAAATACACATTTTCAGTATCTGAGTTTACACATGATTATTACATATTCAACATTAATAATAATCTAACATTGATGGCACTAAAGATTACATGATTGATAAAATTGTGAAATATTGCACCATAATAATATCGTTACATCGTAATGAAAATTTAACACTACAGATGCACACCTCTCATAACTGCATAGCAACCAAGTGAAACTTGCATACATACACCTCTGGTATTGCTGTACAACCAATGTTGTAAAAAAAAGTGAAACATTGCAATTTGAGTTCACAGACTCGTATTCAAAATAACGGTAAGCATATAATATATATTATTTTATTTCGATTTTATTTTAATAACAATTATCAAGTACTTTTGCCGAGTGTGTTGGGTAAAGATTATGCAAACCCAAACCAATAGCATATTTTTTGGAATTCCAGTATGTCATCATAATTGCAGTCACATTACTCACTGTCATCATAATTGCAGTCACATTGCTCACTGTCATCCTAATTGCAGTCACATTAGTCGCTGCCACCCTAATTGCAGTCAACCTAAATGCAGTCATATTACTCACTGTCGCATGACATCCTAATTGCAGCCATATTACTCACTGTCACATGACATCCTAATTGCAGTCATATTACTCAGTCACATGACATCCTAATAACAGTCATATTACTCACTGCCACATGACATCCTAATAGCAGTCATATTACTCACTGCCACATGACATCCTAATAGCAGTCATATTACTCATCGTCACATGACATCCTAATAGCAGTCATATTACTCACTGTCACATGACATCCTAATAGCAGTCATATTACTCACTGTCACATGACATCCTAATTGCAGTCATATTACTCATCGTCACATGACATCCTAATAGCAGTCATATTACTCACTGCCATATGACATCCTAATAGCAGTCATATTACTCACTGTCACATGACATCCTAATAGCAGTCATATTACTCACTGTCACATGACATCCTAATTGCAGTCATATTACTCACTGTCACATGACATCCTAATAGCAGTCATATTACTCACTGTCGCATGACATCCTAATTGCAGTCATATTACTCACTGTCACATGACATCCTAATAGTCATATTACTCGCCGTCACATGACATCCTAATAGCAGTCATATTACTCACTGCCACATGACATCCTAATAGCAGTCATATTACTCACTGCCACATGACATCCTAATTGCAGTCATATTACTCACTGTCACATGACATCCTAATAGCAGTCATATTACTCATCGTCACATGACATCCTAATAGCAGTCATATTACTCATCGTCACATGACATCCTAATAGCAGTCATATTACTCACTGTCACATGACATCCTAATAGCAGTCATATTACTCACTGTCACATGACATCCTAATTGCAGTCATATTACTCGCCGTCACATGACATCCTAATAGCAGTCATATTACTCACTGTCACATGACATCCTAATAGCAGTCATATTACTCACTGTCACATGACATCCTAATTGCAGTCATATTACTCACTGTCACATGACATCCTAATTGCAGTCATATTACTCGCCGTCACATAACATCCTAATAGCAGTCATATTACTCACTGTCACATGACATCCTAATAGCAGTCATATTACTCACTGTCACATGACATCCTAATTGCAGTCATATTACTCGCCGTCAAATGACATCCTAATAGCAGTCATATTACTCACTGTCACATGACATCCTAATAGCAGTCATATTACTCACTGTCACATGACATCCTAATAGCAGTCATATTACTCGCCGTCACATGACATCCTAATAGCAGTCATATTACTCACTGTCACATGACATCCTAATTGCAGTCATATTACTCGCCGTCACATGACATCCTAATTGCAGTCATATTACTCGCCGTCACATGACATCCTAATTGTAGTCACTCTACTCACTGTCACATGTCAACTCTACTCACTGTCATATGTCACCTTTTTTGATTCCAATTAATCTTTGATATCTGATATAATTTATTAGATAACATTTATCTTGGAAATACACTTTCTTTCTTTGTTCATTTAAAAATATGACCAAAGTATATATATTGGCAATGACATATTTTGTTTCATTGAAAAATGCAAAACATTGAAAAACATAATACTTTTGCACCAACATTTTGGCACTAAAAAATCAATTTAATTCTCTTTGATGTTACTTTAGCTTCCAAAGTAAGTATTTTATTAGATTTAAAAGTTATTAAAATAAATCACATTATTCTTCACACATGAAAATATGACAGAACAAAGAAAGTGCAATGATTGTATCAGGAAAAGATGAAATTTAGGTTGAATAAAGTTGTTACCGGTAATAGGTAATTCTGTACAGCCTCTGCAGGTACAGAAATGTTGAGGACGCTTGACTAACTTAGAAATATACAATTTATGAAATTGATTATCTGTGCTGCCAATCAAAGTTTTCTTAAAATCAGAATGAATACATGAATACATCTGTTAGTTCAGTCATGCAAGTGTGCATGGGGTATTGTGCAATTGTCTCAGACCGACTTACAGATCCAACTGATATGATTATGACTTCAAAGAGACCAACATAAGCACACCAACTATTGTTTCATGAATAAAAGGACGCACAGATAATCAAACAGACTAACTTTAATCACATTTTGTTATATACTATTGCTCTAGAATATTTGTGGTCTCCCTGAGCCATCAACACTGCTGTCTTTGTAGAATGTACACTGCTGCGTAAAAAGGTCTTTCATATGTTAATACATGCACTTGTTTGGAAATCAATGAACTTCACCAGTTATATATACACAATAGGCAGTGCACTTAGTAGCTATGCTGGGGGCAACAAATACACAGAGAATAGATGTGATTCGATAAAATTGTAAATATACTGTAACCATGCCAGAGCTGGTCAAAACAGAGTACAACCAGCATATGTGTCATCACACCATACTGGAATGACATCAGTGGGTAACGTCACACTAGACCAAAACCTTCAGACCCTTCATTGATGGCAACTAATAACGCTTTCTGCATTTGTTCAATACTGTCATAACTGGGTAGGCACAATTGGTTGAAACTGAAAAAGAGATTCAGCGTTAGAATTCATTTATCAGAAATATCATTAGGTTTGTTTTTAAAGCACCTCAAAATTAAAACAGCACACCAATTCTCATCACTAATCCTTCTTCTATTTCACTTACTATCTAGGAAGAGTAATGTAGGTAGGCGATGCACTGATAAGAAATCTAAGAGACAGATTTCACTTACCATGTATATGCAGTAGGCAGAGTACTGTAGGTGGGTGATGCACTGATTTGAAATCTAAGACAGATTTCACTTACCATGTATGTGAAGTATGCAGAGTACAATAGGTAGGCGATGCACTGATAAGAAATCTAAGACAGATTTCACTTACCATGTATGTGAAGTAGGCAGAGTACAATAGGTAGGCGATGCACTGATAAGAAATCTAAGACAGATTTCACTTACCATGTATGTGAAGTCGGCAGAGTACAATAGGTAGGCAATGCACTGATAAGGAATCTAAGAGACAGATTTCACTTACCATGTATGTGAAGTAGGTAGAATACAATAGGTAGGCGATGCACTGATAAGAAATCTAAGAGACAGATTTCACTTACCATGTATGTGAAGTAGGCAGAGTACAATAGGTAGGCAATGCACTGATAAGAAATCTAAGAGACAGATTTCACTTACCATGTATGTGCAGTAGGCAAAGTACCGTAGGTGGGTGATGCACTGATAAGAAATCTAAGAGACAGATTTCACTTACCATGTATGTGAAGTAGGCAGAGTACAATAGGTAGGCGATGCACTGATAAGAAATCTAAGAGACAGATTTCACTTACCATGTATGTGCAGTAGGCAGAGTACCATAGGTGGGTGATGCACTGATTTGAAATCTAAGACAGATTTCACTTACCATGTATGTGCAGTAGGCAAAGTACCACAGGTGGGTGTTGCACTGATTTGAAATCTAAGACAGATTTCACTTACTATGTATGTGCAGTAGGCAGAGTACTGTAGGTGGGTGTTGCACTGATTTGAAATCTAAGAGACAGATTTCACTTACCATGTATGTGCAGTAGGCAGAGTACCGTAGGTGGGTGATGCACTGATTTGAAATCTAAGAGACAGATTTCACTTACCATGTATGTGCAGTAGGCAAAGTACCACAGGTGGGTGTTGCACTGATTTGAAATCTAAGACAGATTTCACTTACCATGTATGTGCAGTAGGCAGAGTACTGTAGGTGGGTGTTGCACTGATTTGAAATCTAAGAGACAGATTTCACTTACCATGTATGTGCAGTAGGCAGAGTACCGTAGGTGGGTGATGCACTGATTTGAAATCTAAGAGACAGATTTTACTTACCATGTATGTGCAGTAGGCAGAGTACCATAGGTAGGTGATGCACTAATAAGAAATCTAAGAGACAGATTTCACTTACCATGTATGTGCAGTAGGCAGAGTACCATAAGTAGGTGATGCACTAATAAGAAATCTAAGACAGATTTCACTTACCATGTATGTGCAGTAGGCAGAGTACAATAGGTAGGTGATGCACTAATAAGAAATCTAAGACAGATTTCACTTACCATGTATGTGCAGTAGGCAGAGTACAATAGGTGGGTGATGCACTGATTTGAAATCTTGGAGACAGGTCAGAGAAACCACCTGGTGGTAGCTGGGAACATCCTGTCGTAAACTGTAACAGCCTTGCCATCTCTTCTTGGGTAAAACTGGCAACTATGGTCCAAAACCAACCAATGATCTACATGAAAAATGACAAAACAAAAACATGTCAAAACTGAACAATGAATATCACCTACCGGAAAGCTAAAATCACATCTATGTTTTTAGAAAATTATTCCAATTATTTATTGTGTTCAGATAAAACAGGCTTCGCTGTACATTTATACTAATGCTTTAAGATGTTCTGATTAAAGAGGTTTTACTCTTATGTTCACACAAAATACTTTATAGAGTTCAGATTAAACAGGTTTCATAATAATCAATCTAAAAACATTTATATGAATTAATGGGACCAGAAAAAGAAATTTGACAGTTTAAAATTGTACACATTCAAGTAGATTACTTTCATAGTAACATGCTGTAAATATATAGTAAACTATATTTACAATAATTCTATGTGAAACATGAGTACTGTATTTGGTTTATTAGGAGCAAATCTCCAATAGAAGTGCATATAAACCCAAACATAACATTTATTGTATATTGTATTTGTTGTATTCAAATATGACTTATTTTGAACAAAGAAACACCTCTGTGAGTTATGCACTACTTATAGAGCAAATTGTACCCACAGTTGTATATCACTATAATAAATCACAATCTGAAGAAGACTGGATAAAATTACTTGTCGAGTTACTGTAATTACAAATAAAAATAAGTTTACACTGCAGTCAACAACAACAACAACATCAACAATGATGAGCAGACACATTTCCCTGCATCTATTATATGAGCAAAGTAAACATAAACATACCTTTCTGAAGTTATAACCACCGCCAGAATTAATGACACAATTCCTTTTGAAGTCATCCAAGTCAAATGAACTACTGCCACACATCAGCAATTCCAATTCATTCTCATCAAATATGCTTAAAAGATGATCTGGTATGATGTCATTTAATCCTAGGTGAAATAAAATACCATCTTTGCTTTATTAGAAGCACATTGCTAATAGATTCAAACATTAACAAAATTGCATTTATTGTATGTAAGAGTAATGCTATTGAAATGTATCTTATTTTGACCTTAGAAACACTTCTATGTACAAATGGTAATAAAGTGACCATATTGGGATGTAAACTGATGTTATTATATACTGTAAAGCGTTTAAATTTCGCGAGCTTCGCGAGTTACCAAAACTTGCGAAATTAGTCTTCGCGAATAATTACCAAGCTAAGGGGCTAATGGTATTACATGGCTTCACATCACGCATGACAGGGACAATGAACAAAATGGCCGTCTCTGTGAAAAACAATAACAAACACGCCAGAGATAAAGTTACTAGTAATTTTATTTTAATAAATAAATACTACTAATAAATAAATATTAATAATGACAAAGAAATAAAATTACAGATATGATCAAATACTTGTAGTGTCTTGTTGTGTTATTGCACATAGCAGTAAACTACAAATGTCAGTTCAAAATAATAATAAATTTACAATTTAGCTGTTCAAAATGTACCAGTATGTTATTGTCACAAAAATGTTCAAACCTGAATATTGTCAATGGTTTCCTTGATGGACGATTTGAACAAATCCATCCATGATGAGTTCATGATTGTCTCGCAAACTGTCATAGACGCGTAGTAGCCAATGTGCATGTAGGGGCTTCATAATAGACAGCCACAAATCAACATTAACTTGCCCGATATCTTCTCCACGTTCTAAGGCTGCCACTACTTTGCTAGCATACCATGCATTAAATTCCTCCTTCAAGCATTCTTTAAATTTGCTGTTGAATGAGAGGTCCAGAGATTGCAGCTCCGACGTACAACAAGGAGGAACAAATACTGGTATCACACCACCATCGCAGAG